GCTCCAAGTTCGACCTCAACCACCTCGACCTCAATGAGAGGGCCAGCAACAGTAGGGCTAGGCGCCTCCTTAGTCTTGGAAGCCTGCCCTGCGCGGGGGCGTTTGCGTCTGACATCCTGGAAAAGCCGCACACCATGCCTGCAAAGAAAACATATAAGGCTTAAACACGAAGTAAGAAAAGCGTCAAAAAATCAAGTACAAAATACCCGAAAGGCAACCAACCTAGTTTCAAGTTCGATCTCCGAGCTTCAGGTGAGGCTAAGAGAGGATTGTAATCGAGCAGTCCAGAGGCAAGAATAAGCTTATCTGTTATAACTGTGTTGATCTGCTTGCCTTTGAAAAACTTCAAAGCATTGAAGGTCGGCTCTGAAAGCTAAGGGATCGGCCTTATAGCATCTGAAAACATCAAAGCTATGAGTTAGACCATGAAGAGAAACAATTAAAAGCAAGTAAAGACTCTACTCCTTACCTAAGTTCCCGAACCTACAAGGGACGTTGTGGAAGGGCTAGTCAGACCCGTTCTTGGCCAGCCACCCTCCAGAGGCGAAGAACCACTTCCCAACCCACTTCTTTATAGAGGTTGGACCTTTCAGAATGCCTCCCGCGCCAACGGATGAACGGGTAGGGGGAAGCCGTACTCGAACATCTTCAAATAAAGGGTTACACACCCCTCCGGTGGATTATCAGCTCACTCCCCTTCCTTAGGAAGCCTAAGGATGATATCATTTGGTATGCTATATCTCCTATGAAAGGGGCGGAGGTAGTTTTCAAGCATTTGGGAAAGGTACTTTAAACCTTGGCCTGAGGTCAAAGTATCGCTATCATCTCTGTCATCCTCGGAGAACCTAAAATTATATATTTCTTCCTCTAGTTCGGAGTCTAACCTACTCGCAAACTTCTCTACGGAATCGGCTTTCTTGGGTGAAGAATCCCGACTCCGAGCTGCGCTACTAGAAGAGCTACTACTAGACGAACTTTGGGACTGGAAGACGTCGACATGACTCGAAAGATTGAAAATAAGAAAGAAAGGCAAAGGAATGAGACTGACCTAGAGAGAGATTCCGAGCTGCTCTGGTCGTACTCCAAGATTTCAGAAAGTGTAAAAAAATGGAAACAAAGCCTTGAGGGTATTTATAGTATCCCGAGATTTAATCCCGACCGGACATGTGTCCAAAATTGGACGATCCAGATCGGAAGAAGTTCGAACGTCAAAGGTACTGAAGTGCGCACCGAACACTGGTTCCATTTTCGAGGTTTTCCAACGGTAATAATTACTATGACGACATCGGAAGTCACCACGTGGATTGGTTTCGCAAGGAGGATAACTTCTCTGCCAGATCGAGATCGAACCTGGCAGAGAGGGGGCCAATGTTTGGGAGGAAAAACCCTACTGCCACGTGGAGGACGGGGATTCGCCATCGAGGAAAGATCCAAAAAAACAACTTATGTAGCTCCATCTCAGAACCTTTCGAGGTGGGAGACTTCGCCATTTTTCATCAAGAATCAACTTGTCATTTTCGGGAAAGTGTCCGAGCTCGATTTGCTCGAGCCTGACACGTTCGACCTCAAATCCGACCAAGGTAATCGCCTATCGCAAGCCCTATCGGAACCTAAACCTAAAAATAGCGGGCCTCATTTCATTATCAGGTATCAAATTTCTCCACGAACTTAATATTGAGTCCGAGCTGCTTACTGACTTGAGCGTCGGAGATTTTGCCCTCTTGTGCAGGTCTTCCCTTAGAGTTTTAGGTCGGAGCAAGGACCGGGTTCGAGCTAGATTGAGGTTGTGCAGTTTCTTGCATAAACAAATAGCAACAGAACATGCATTAAATTAAATAATATTAAAGGTAAGAAAAACTCCGTGAATCATTTCTTCATTATTTGTAACATCACCCTACTACTTTTAGTTCTGAAAAGATGAATTACACCTACCAAATCGCCAGACACATTTCCACTCATTTTATACAAACTGATTCAACTCCTAGTCCATATCGCTTTTGGTTTGTTTAGAAACTTAGGCTAGCATTTACATATGTTTATGAAACACTAGAATCCAAAATTACGCAAACTCCAACTTACGTTTAACAGGTAAGAGAGTCTATGTCTAAGTTCTTGTTTTAGTTCTTATTTTTAAGTAACTTCTCGTTTTACCTTGATGACATCGTTTGGTTCTAACATTTCATAATTAAATTCAAAGTATTGTGATTTAAGTGGCCAACAAGAAAATCAACTTGTTAAATTATATCAATAAAGATAAGTAAGAGGAGCATATTATGCCGTGCTCACTAATGGATGTAATTTAAAAAGATATGAACTAAAACATTCGTAGGCGGGTTGAAAAAGTAATTTAGCTACTCATAGCAATAAATAAAATGAAACCATAAGAGAAAATAATAAAAGAGTTCATTTTCATTAAAATTGGAAAACGAGTAGAAAATTAGAACAAATGGAATTGAATTAAAATAACCAATGAACAATTACAAAAATAATTAAAGAACTAAACAAAGATTCAATGCTCGAAGAGAAAACAAAGTTTGGTAAAATACTTAGAAAGGAAGAACAAAAAGATGGAAGTGTGTTTGAAAGGCTTGCATTTATAGGCTTGGAGGCTCCCCTTTTGTTGGAGAATAGTTGGGAAGTTAGAACAAAATCATGGACCAACCACTTTGACCTCATCTCGCATGATGTTAGAGAGAATAGAGTAGATTTCATAGAATGCTCGGTCAAAATAAGTTGAAACGCCCATTTTGACAATTTGGACAAAAAATGAGTCAGTACAATTTGGAGGCAGTAGATTTCAGCAAAATGTGCCTAGCGCATTTTGACAATAGATTTGGTCTGCGATTCAAACTCATACCTTTTAATATAAAATAAGTATTTTAATGAATTGTGCTTGAGAATAAGTGTTTTAATCCATTTAGCTCAGTGATATATAAAAAGCATAAACATACCAATAATTTATTTGCCGGTTTTCTTCTTTTAATTTAATTTTTCAAGATTGATTTAAAATAATAATATAATTAATTTTGAATTTTGAATTGTATATAAAGGCCAACTTAAATATTAGCTAGAAATATTAAGATGAAAAACTTGAGCGTTAGAACTATATAAATGGCACAACTACAATGAATGGTTTGGAATATTTTTGGCCCCACGTACATACATTTCACCATCTACAATAATTCTCATTAGAACGACAAAAGTATTGAACGGATCAAATATTCATAGACATCCTATATGAGTTCACCAAAAACACTCCTTTTATGAGGAAATTATTTAAGTTATTTATGTATTGTGTTTATTTTTGCATAAAAAAAAGTGTGTATATATATTGGAATCACCCTGGTAGTTGTTACAATTATACCCCTAAACTTTAAATTGTAAAAATTAAACTAATTTTTACAATTTAAAGTTTAGGGGTATAATTGTAACAACTACCATACTTTAGAATGGTTTATGTAATTTACGCTTTTTCCCTTACCAATAAATCTAACTCCACTTGACAATAATGATGTACTAAAGAAGATCTAACAAGTATTGTTGATGTTGAATTCTATCGACGATTAGAGGTCGACTACATTTTCACATGGATGAGCTACGAAGGAGGAGCTAGCAAAGGGAAGACCTAAAAAGATAAAATAAATACTTCGAAGTTCAAGTTAGTCCCATGTTTGAGCTAAATAGGTTAGCTTTAAACATAATTGCTGTAGGTGCCTTTTTATAGGTAGATGGGAAAGACCAGCCCATTACGCCCATTATAATTAGTATCTGTAGTTAGGCGATTATAGACTGTTGGGTCAGCGTCTAACCTTTTGGCTATATTTAAAAAAAAAATTTCATTTTATAACTTTAATTCTCATATAAAATAAAGTCATATTCAACTTTACTAATTAAATTATATTTTAAAAATGGATATGCTATTTAATATCTAGTTATAAAATTAATAATAATATTTAGGTTTGATTTGTTAGTACCTATCTTTTACTAATCTCGTTGAATTCATAAATGCTAGTCATATGGTTCATTTTAAAATTCTAAAATCACTTTTTAAAACCTATTAAAAATAAGGTTGAATTACCAAAAAAAAAAAAAGACTTGCTTTATATTAAAAAATATTCGAGTAAATACTGATAGAAAGTTGGCGTGATAGAATCTAAAGGGATACAATTTATTAGCTGACACTGTAACAGATTTGACCATCAACGTTGTTGATCGTAGGTCCGTCATTGTTTATACCCGTAGCTTTTTTTGCGTTATTAAAAGTCAAATTTGTCCTATTAATAATTATCCTAGACAAGCTTCTACTTGTTACTTCATTTCAAACTTTCATTTAAAATATTAATTAGTTGTTGATCGTAGGTCCGTCATTGTTTATACCCGTAACTTTTTTTGTGTGATTAAAAGTCAAATTTGTCCTATTAATAATTATCCTGGACAACTTCTACTTGTTACTTCATTTCAAACTTTCATTTAAAATATTAATTAATGGATATTAGCATGAAGGTTATTTTTTAAATATTTCGGAACAAAGGTTTTAAATGTCCAGATCCATAAAAATATCGATAAAATGTAGATGTCAATGCATATTTCTGAAAAAGTTATAAAAATAAAAAACTTGAAAAAAAATTAAATTAACAAATAATCGTTTCACCATTTTTAAATAAGGTAAAAATATTAAAATTAATATTATGTCTATATTAGTGAAATTTTATTGAAATTTTTTATAATTTATTTATTTTTTTGTAATATTATGGAAATGTTCATTCACCATTCTCTCGTGGGGATGTATAGACACGTCGATATGCAGATAGATATTTAATAAGACGATTGATACTCCTCAAATATTTTTGAAATAGAGGATAAAGTTTTTTTTTTTTATTTAGCCTAAAATCAATTTTGTATAGGTCCTTTCAAACTCGAGTTTTGTTGGCTTCAAGTTATCTGCCACCACAATTATCATCATTGAGACATGAAAGCTTCAATTTCACTGTCACGACTGTTCTGACGGAATCGACGATCAGAAAACGCTGCACCCAAAATGAGGCCACAATCACGCCGCCGTGAAATTCCGGCATCATCCATGCCCCGTTGACGCTGAATCCACTCCACTATCTCCACAGATTATGGCTCCAATCAACTGTTCCTAGCATTTCACCGCCGAATATGGACGCTCTCTTTGTCCATCACTCTTATATCCGCCGCACCACCAACGACGGAGCTCACTCGACCGCCATACCTGTTCCCCGCTTCTCCCTACGTTCTTCACTGATCGGAATCAAGCTACTTCATCTTCATTCTAAGAACTTCCCCTATCCTCGCCTCCGTCGCATCCCTTGCGCCCCCGAGGGCGCCGGTCACCATCACGGCCACCACCATGGGTGCCAGCACCATTGCGACGGTGATGGAGTGGAGCCGACTGGAGCTCAGAAGGCGTTTATTCGATTTGCCAAAGCTATTAGGTGGACGGAGTTGGCGAATTATTTGAGGGAGCATCTACAGTTGTGTTGCGGTTCTGCTGCTTTGTTTCTGACTGCGGCTGCGTGTCCTTATTTGGTGCCTAAACCTGCTGTGAAGCCTCTGCAGAATGTTCTCGTTGCTGTTGCCTTCCCTTTAGTCGGGGTACGAATCGTCCATCAAACAGCTGACTCTTTAAAACATGGTTAATTTGATTTATTGCAAATCGACAACGGATTTCCTTAATTCTGTTCTTGGTGACTGTTGAATATATTTTGCCTTTGGACTAAAAATGTTTGAGTTAAACTAATTATCATGCTGCTAAGAGTAACAGTATTTTAAGACGGTATCGTGCAGGAGATTCTTAGTTTCATTTCTCATAGTCATTATCTACTCGTCACATAGAATTGACACTTCTTGTGGTTTTTAATTAAAATAATGTCCCCCTATTCTAATTTTTTATGGAACTGAAATAACTTAATTCTAATCGAGTTGTTTGAGCTATTGAGATTAGTAGCAATTCAGCAAATTTTATGTCATTATTTCTGAAACCAAGTAACGGATAACTCTAGCTGTAGAGGGGTGATTTCAAGATATGCTGATTTATTAAATCTTATTGCTATTTGACTATTCAAGAAAATAAATGATCTTATTGATCATATTGATGAGAAGGATTCTTCATTCAATTTATCTCTGCGATTTGAGAGCTCTCGTTTTACTGCAGTGAGGATGTATGTTTGATTGATTATTAAATTGTCAGTTTTGTGTTGCCTTTGCCTTGAGTTAGCAAGATGAATCAGGTTTGTTGCCTTCTCTAGTTTGCAGGCACACACACGCTCTTCTTTCTTTTCAATTGCAAATTTTATTTGATGCTTGTCTCTGTGTGAGAATATATCATAGATTATATTTATAGCTATTTAGGGAAATGCATTTCAGTTAAGCCATGATTTGTTTAGGGTTTGAAGATCCCAAACTACTACAGGTCATTGAGCATTTTCATCATTGTAATTTGTAAGGCTAACTCGGTAATGAGTCTATAAATCTAATTATAATGTTACTATATCAGGTCTCTGCTTCTCTTGATGCTCTTACTGATATTAGTGGTGGGAAAGTGAACATCCATGTACTAATGGCGCTTGCAGCCTTTGCATCAATATTTATGGGGAACCCCTTGGAAGGAGGACTACTTCTCGTGATGTTTAATCTGGCTCATATTGGTATTCAGTTGAAAAACATTTTTTACAATTTTGCTTTCAATTTGTATCAAGCTTTGCTTGTAAGAATCTCATTTTCATTCGGTGGCCTCGGTGCTGGTTTTTGGGGAGGAAGGGTTTTGCTAAGTTTTGGGGAAGAAGGGTTATCTATCTCCTTAGGTCTCAGTTGGTCTTTGACTGCAGAGAATCCCGAGAAGCGGCTGAGTTGCTCCATCTTCTTTCTAATGTTCCTTTCGTTCGTGATAGAAAGGATGTATGTGCCTGGTTCCCTAGTCCGTCTATGGGTTTCAGTTGTAGCTTCTATTTTAAACTTTTGTGTGTCCCTGATTCTTCCCCCGCTGGCCCAGGTTTTGCTCACTTTGGAAAGTGAAAATTCCAAAGAAGATCAAGGTTTGTGTGTGCTATGTCTTACTTGGGAAAGTCAATACCCTGGATCGTATTCAGAGGCATTCTTCTTCCTGTTTGGGGCCGCAATGGTGCGTTCTTTGCAAGCAAGACTCAGAGGATCTCGATCACATCTTTTGGCATTGCAGGTTTTCTCAGAGGGGCCAATTCTTTGAGGTTTTTGAGGTTTCTTAGGTTCATTGTAGAGATTGGGGAGCTATGGTGGAGGAAGTGCTTTCGTCTCCTCCTTTCCATGAGAAAGGGAGGTTTTTGTGGCACGCTTGTTTCTTTGCGATTTTGTGGGGGATTTTGTTGGAAATGAATAATAGAATCTTTAGGGTGGTGGAGAGAGATGGAGAGTCGATTTGGGACCTCATTAGATTAAATGTTTCTTTGTGAGGCTCTGTTTCGAAAGTGTTTTGTAATTATTAATTAGGTTCTATTGTTTTGGATTGGAAGCCCTTTCTTTAGATAGGGTTCCTCCTTCTGGGATTTTGTTTTTGTATGCCCTTGTATATGCTTCTATTTTCATTTGTCTTAATAAAAAGTTCAGTTTCTTATCAAAAAAAAAAAAAAACAAGAATCTCATTTTCATTCTGACTGCAGCTGAAGAGTATTTCACAAAGCAATCAATGATTGATGTTAAAGAGTTGAAGGAAAGCCATCCAGATTTTGCTCTTGTTTTGGATATGAATGATGATAACCTTCCTGATACATCAGATCTGGAGCATAGAAGGGTGCCGGTGCGTGACGTGGAAGTGGGCTCATATATCTTGGTGGGAGCTGGTGAGGTATGTCACATGAAGCTTTCACCTCATGTTAATATGGTTTGCCAGATGACAACGCTGACCTAGATCCTGAGCTACTAATTTGACTATTGACGAGAAAATTTTGGCAGTCTTCAATTATTTAAAACCTAATATTTTAATATGTACAAACTAGTTACACTTTGATGCATATAATTTTAACACAATAGTTCCTAGGGAATTATGTAATCTTTCATATCTAATCAGTGAAACCTAATTATGTTAGTTAAAGGAGAATGAACGGCTGATTTGAGATATTGAGAAAATTAGTGTACTCTTAGTAGTTAGTACTCTGAGAGAGAGAGATTTCTTCTGTAATTTGTTTTTATCTTAGTGAAATCTATAAACACTGAAAATGATTGGGGCTCAGACTAAGTGAAAGACTAAAGTCTTCTTGTTTATTATTTTTTCCTCCACTTTTATTTGTCTTTTAGTCTAGGAATATGATTAGGACCTGGTAATCGAATATGATTAGGACATGGTAATCCATCTTAGAGATACGGTGATTAAGTGGTATCCGGCTTAGTTAATTGTAGTGTCCGTGGATTCATCAAACTTATAATATTTATCCTCTCATAAGACAACTGTTCTGTTCTCCATATATTTTTTTTTTCAAAAGGACAAATATTCTCTATGTCTGCAGAATAACTTTTTGATATCCACCCAAGTGTGATGGTTTGTAGAGTACAATACAAAAAGAAAAATAATAAAGGAATTATCCTAACTATTAAAAGACAATTATCTCCTTGTAGAATTCCTTAGATTTCTACCTATCCATAAAAGATTTCTACATGATTGTTTTATTTATTATTTTTCTAATAGTTCTATTATTTCGAGATGATGTGTTTGTATATCGTAATGAAGGCTGTTTTTGTATTAGTCTGTCCCTGTAGATTGTGAGGTTTATCAAGGTTGTGCTACAATCACTGTTGAGCACTTGACAGGAGAAGTCAAACCGTTGGAAATAAAGGTTGGGGAAAGAGTTCCCGGT